CCCATAGGACATGTGAACAATGTTTTGACTGGCCTAGTCAGTCCGCACAACACGAACATGATGCAGTATCGCAGTTAGGGGTATAGAAGAACGTAATTTGGCGTAGAGAAGGTCGATATGGCAGATTTTCATAGGTGTGGGCGAGTACAGCGACGACAATGGGTAGATAGCGGTGATCGAGAAAAGCAGGTAGCAATGTAGAATCGACAGTGTCAGACGACGTAGAATGGAAATAAATGCATTAAGCGCGCACGTGAGACAGTTAGCAATGCAGAAGAGGAGCTAGTTAGGGTGCATACAAAGAGTATCACGGTAATATGCACCCCCCACAGCTTGATTGATTAGGTTGAGCATACCATGATTACGGTACACTTGTAGCGGATTCTCATACTGTCGCATCTCCATAAAATCGACTTTGCGTTCGAAACTCCGGAGTTGTGTCTCGAGTGACACCGAAGTGTTTAACTTCATGCACGCCAATACATTCCTGTATGCGTTATCCCCCAGATCTTGTTCGTGTGTGCGTACAATATAAGCAGTGGCGTCCTGAAATGACATAGACTGCAATTTTTGCTCGTTCTCCACAATAAAATCTAAAAGCGTCTTGGTTGCTCCTTCTTTCTGTAGTGCCCTACGTAGGCCCATCTGCATATAAATCGGGTCTAATTTGTGAAATTTTGCATTCTTATGCCAATCCAAAATAAACGCATGCAACTGTATCTTCTGCGGATTATCCAAATAATAGCTGCCCTGTGGATTAGGTGGCCATTCCTTGGGTGTCCGTTTATCGGCCGTTATTGAGCAAGTCTTCAACGTCTCGTTAGATGTATGAATTAAGCCCTGCAACGAACGAGCGTCCTCAGTGCGTCCTTCAGCTTCTGCTTGCAACATACGTTGGGTGAGAAGGAATACCTGCGTTTTCATCTCTGCCGCGGTAGACTCAATAGTGCACGCATTCGTAGGTGGTGATATCTTACATCGTTTCACCTCCTGCGGGTCTTCCAGGTAGCGATCGTGGTGAACAGGGAAGTGCTTACGGTATGCAAGCGTATCGATAGGTACATTTGCATTATCCTGACAGTTCTCCTTCCATTCTTCTAGAGATTGCGGACGACGATGCTGTTGTAATTTGTCCCTGAATAAATTCGCTGCCGCTTGACCGTGAGTAGGCTGTTGACGTGAAGATTTCATCACTCTGCGAAATGCCTCAAAGGACCGCTTCGCCGACGATGACAAATTTTGAGGGGTAGCCATGTCCAAATGTGAGTCCGCTGGGTCCAAAAAAATTCTATCAGGTGTTTCACCAAAGTTGTCGACTCTGACTGGTCGGTTGGTGGCAACTCTGCCTGTGTTGGGTATTGAGGAGCCCAATGTTGTTGCGCGGTTGGTTCGGCCTCAGTCTCAGAAAAATCATCATCCACTGTCGCCTGGGCCGTTGACGATTGACGGAGTTGACGGAGTTGCTCTTGAATGAGGCGACTCTTTTCCTTTGCCTCCTTCACATGCATCAACGTATTCAAGTGTCCTGCTTGATCCGCAATCCATGCTGGGACTCGGCTAAGCCTATCCAAGGTTCGGATTGAGTATTGGGCTTCCAAAAGCAAATGAGTCAATTCCAAATGAATTCCCACCTTCTCGTTGTCTCCGGGTGCAGGTTTCTTGACACGTGCTGTATCCACCTTATCGCATAGCTCGGTCAAATGTCGAATCGTTCCAAGCAACCATTTCAGCAGCTGGTCACAGGCTTGCTTACCCACCGTAGGCAACGGTCTGGTCTCGGGTCCCGTCATCGTTAGTAAAAAAAAAAAAGTAAACTAAGTCGCTTCTCAGTTAATTAACCTTTAACGAACGTAGTATAATAAATACAGTAGTTCGGTCACTTAAAACTGTGGTCAAAACCAAGTAACACTTAATAAAGAGTGTTAAGTCTGAAATTAGTGAACTCAGTCAGAAGTGCCGTTATGATCGGCGCGTCTGCTGTATTTATTATCACGTTCCTAAATGGAACGAGATTTTCTCTAACAATGGGTTATTATGAAAATACCCGTATCTGTGGTTTTCGTCTCCTGGTTACTAATTTATGATGACATCTTCTGAGTCATCTCTATGGTTGTCGTCTCTTATAGATACTAAATTATGATGACACCTTCTGAGTCATCAATCTCTCATAATAAATTTTTCTGTCTCAATAGCAGGTCTGGTCTTTCTGAGTCCGGTCCTAGAATATTCTACTCAGGTCCGGTCCTCTGGTCCGGTCCTGAAATTCCACTTGTAGGTCGGGCCCTCTGGTCCGGTCCTAAATGCCCTTCCTAAGTACTTTGTCCACATAGGTGACAGGTCCTTGGGTAAATGATCCGGGTGCGCTAGTCATTCATGCCAACTGGCGGCGTAAGCAAATTTAAAATTAAAAAAATCCAGGGGTACGACGTAAACGCCTTGCTTCTGCTCACAATTATATACTAGGTGTTGGGGTGATAGTAGGAGGCAGACTGTGTCATGGCTGATTAGGTTGATCTTTAGAGTTGGTCTATAAATAGCCCTTCCAGCGTCACTCAATTGCCCTGAGTGAGTTGCGATTCCAATAGTCCCGTCAGCTAGGTGTACGTTTGTGAAGTGACGTTTTGCGTTTGATATCAACTCCAAATCGATAATAATGTGGACTGAGGCTCCACTTTTCAGAGTCCCACTAGGTTCTTATTTGGCCGAAAATTCTCTCAGAGTCTATGGCTTTGATTGGTGAAGAGATAACGTCCTCATTAAATTTATCACTAAAAGCTTCATATTCTTCGGAGTCGCTGTCGGACATTAGGTCGGGTAGGACATCGTAGTCATCTCACTAGAGCTGTCGAGTAGGGGTCCCAGGGGTCCATCCTTGGGTAGGTCAAAATCGTAGTCCTCTTTAGAGCTGTCGAGTAAAAGTCCTGGCGGTCCATCGTCTTCGTCCGAACTACAAGTTGGATTATTTAGAATAAAATCTGATAATTCTCTCTCTTCCGGCTCGGTGTTTGGCTTCATCCCAAATCCAGGGCAATTTTCGGAGGTTGCCCTGATGGCTTCTGGCATGTCATCATCCGACAATTCGACGTCAGATTCGACATAGCCGGCAACTGCTGAGAATGCTCTAACGCCTTCATCGTCACTACTCGAATTTTGCTCATCATTCTTGTCCAAATTAAACGTTACTTTAGGAGGTTTACGCATTTCCTAAATTGTATGTTTTTCTGTAAAATTCATTACGTTTGTCTTGATGATAGTTGGGTTTCTTCGACGGATAGTCGGCACGTCGTGAGTAGGGTGTAGATTTCGGTGTTGAATAGTCTTTGTTTAAGACTTGGACTCATCAACTCTATTACGGTGATGTCGTTCGTCGGAATTATTTCCACGATTATTGGAGTATCGGTTTTCATAAGGTTTGCGATCTTCCCTGCGGTCAGAGTAGATGTGCGGTCTGGGTCTGCGATGCTTGGATCGGTAATCACTAGCAAGGTGACCTGGTTTGCTACAATTGAAGCACTTTCGTTCTGCTCTGGCAGAAAGTGCTCTCTCTCCTCCTCGAGTCTCTGTATTGGAGGTCGATGTTTGAATCTCCTCCATATCGAATTTTCGGAGATTTTCGCAGAGCTCCTCGTAACTCATGACGTCAGTATCAACTGTGTTGAGATGAGTTCTTGCTGATTTAAAGCGTTCATTGAGACCTTCCTTCAAGACGGTCTTTAAGTCAATCTCAGACGGTAGAGCCTCGCGTTTCTCCAATTCCATTTTCTTCAAATCAATATCACCAATAAAGGCCTTCAAAGTTTCGTTTCTCGTCTGCTTTTTGTTGTTGTTGCCCAAAGCTCCTTTCTCAAACGGCCGATTCCTCCCCGGGTGTTAATCTTAGATTTGGTTTCCAATGCCTTGAAAAGGAGTAACTCCTGTTGAAGTCGTCGAGAGATCGTATGATAAATTGACTCAGACGCGGCTCCACGATCCTCTTGAGTAAACGTTTCACGTTGAGTCTCATAGTAGAAGTCGGGTGGTGTAGCGGCTTCGATCAGTTGTAGGCGACCCTGTTTCATCAGGATCATATCCAATTGAGCTTTCCATTGGTCCCACTGGACCGGCTTATCCAAAATAAGGAATTCAACCTTTGGTTTCAAATCGAAGCTTGTCATTCTCAGAGTAGAGGTAAAACGGACCTGATAAGTTATTGTTCTCAGATATTAAAGCATCTTAAAGTGTTTTAAGTTTTAAGTGAATAGTTGTGATTTATTTGATTCGAGACCCTGCTTTTATATGCATTGGACTCGTAATCCGTTGAGACATTAAAAAAACATCTCTGAGGGTGAAAAAGGTTCTCACTTAATCTATGATCCAATCCGAAGGCAGCGTCGCCACGTCTTCAACTGGTCGTGGCTTCCATTATAATAATCATTGGCCTTATACGTTTATATTGTAGTCCTCCGATATTTAGGAATGCCCTTATGCCCATCAGAGATTTTCTATATTGATGATTCCGTACACCCGTCACTTCGGCTCCGAAATCAATTTCCATCTCTAATAGTTATGTGTCCCTCTCTGAGTTTAGATGATCTCCTTGGTTGATGCTAGGATAAACCTTGTTAAGCCTCCGGTATTTGACCGAAGTTTTATGCTTGGTAAACAATTCTGATTTACTGTGATC